GTGACTTCTGTCAACCAATTGCCCGACGTGCAAGGCGGAGTCTATGCGCCGCACTCGCTTAACACACAGCTAGCTATGCGCGCCTAACATCTGCCCATGTAACGGAAGACGCTATCTGGGCGTAGGCCGGATACGGTCATGAATAATGCAACACGTAGCTTAAATATGAATAAAGTGACGTGCTTGACCCGATGCGACTGCGTTCCTGCTCGCACGGCTTGCCTGTCATCAGAGTCACAGGTTTTTTTGAAGTTGTGGCGCATGTATGTGGCGAACAAACAGGCGCAAGCCAGGTACATTTGAGAAAAAAGTATGATGGGCGCATGTGGAGTACAAGGAGCGCAAGTCAGTTAATCGTGTACATGTACTGTACATGTACACATACATGTACACGTACTCTGACGGATGACGTGCGAGCCGTGCAAGCAGGAACGCAGTGTGTGGTATCGGGTGAAGCATGACGCCCCATGTTGTTTTATTCATATTTATGTCATATGTTGCATTATTCATGATCGTACCCGGCCTTCGCCCAGATAACGTCTCCCCCCATTTGGTCTCCATTATAAACCGAGATCAATGGTACCCCCCCTGTTACTGGGTAGAGCGCCATCTATAACTTCGCACCGCGTCTAGTGACTAGCGCCCTCTGTTTGATATCCTGGTTCAGAGTGCAATGCCAAACCAAAGAGGGGAAAAAAGAAAATACTTTTTAATTGCCTAGTCGGGATCGATATCTAGACCAAGAGTGCACTCTCACATTGAAAAGTTATATTGAAAATTGTAAGGTAACTTTGAAAGATGTAATATCAATAAAGTATTTCTTTAGAGTTGTAAATATTTCAGATGACAGTTAATCCCCAATCAATTTTCGTGTTAGATAAAGATCCTTTGATGGAGTTCGTGGAGTTAATTTGAGGAAAATGCCGATTTCTGCGATTTTTTTGCTGATTCTTAGCTGGACACTAATGATTTCACAGTAATGTTATCACATAATGCATTTTCTGCATGTCGTATGCCCTGGACTGCATGGCGTTTGTTTGGCTCTGCATGAGGCGCCTATTTGGCGATACTACAAACTTTATTATGAAATTATTATTTTTTTGTTTCAGGTGTTTATCGGCAACACAGACAGTGACACCCCTGTAACCAACCTGTTTGATGAGAGTGTGGTGGCCACGACGGTGCGCATTGAGCCGACTAAATGGCATGGTCGGGTTTATCTCCGATTAGAGCTGCTTGGATGTCGCCTTGATTAATGCAACTGCATCGTCTTACTTGCTACACATTTTCTGATACATGTTGAAGTTTCATCTTTGGAGAAAAAAATTTCTATAAATATAAATTGAGATAAGTGTGATTACCAGAGGATAGCGTGTTGGATAACCCACGAGGTTCTGCGTGCTCTGAAAAGTTGAAATAAATACAATAATATCTCAAAATCTCGATTTAAGTTTAATTTTACATTACAGACAATATTTCATTTTGAATGACACAAAATGTTGGATCAGGGGCGTAGTCACGGAGAGGGGGGGGTCCTGGGGTACCGTATGGAATTCCATATCTGTTGTCGTGTGTCGCCGTCGTGCGTCGTACGTCGCCCGTGGTTTTTTTCTTACGCTTGTGCATTGCTATTTTTCACAAAGACCCTTGCTCTTTTCACATACGTGTTCGATCGATCCGCCATGCCTGTCTGTACTTCCACGATAACCTAACAGATCATACCCCAAAAATACAAGAGAAACTTTGAACTGAATGTATAAAATAAACTATTTACAATGATTGATTCCTTAATATCGTTTATAAGAGACGAACTGATTCAACATTATTTTGTGGGCGGGTATACCTACGATGAAATCTGCTGTATACTCCAAATTAGACTTGACTTGAGTTGCACGTAGGCACACAGAAGTTTTATAAACAGTAATGTTCCTGATCCTTGGAAATAGTTATTCGTGGTACCCGTTGCTACATCTGACTCGACCAGCCGTCTCGAGGTGGTCGAGTGGTTTAAGGCGTCTGCACTAGTAAGCAGGAAGTTGTGGGTTCGAATCCCACCCGAGTACACTTGTGCATTTTCACAAGCCTTCGGGGGCAAACACTGAGTATATAGTGTTATACGTTGGGCAGGGCCAAAATACACAACATCTACCCACACTGCCAAAAATACTACTGAATGAGAAATATTGTACGATATTTTGACAACATTAATCTACTGTAAACTTTTAAACTTTTGTTTATAGTAAATAAACATGTTTGTTACACGTATTTACTGTCCTTTTGTGAACGCTGTACAATACTCTATATTTAAAAGTAATGTTTTACGGTATAAGCTGTGACGTCAATTTGCATATTGACACAAATGGTGCGTTGCTTCTTTTGCCAAGTAATTTTGTGGTTTTCCATTCTTAATGCAAGTATTTGACATTACTCTGACAAACGCTGGTGGTTTTTTGGATGTAGTTTTACACGTGAATGCGAACCACTGCTGACGTGAACATTAAAAAAGCTGACTTTTTCATGTTCCAACCACGATTGCTCTTGGGAGCCAAACATTGCACATTTACCATGCCAATGTAAATTAAGAATGTTAATAAAGTTCTGCCGCGATCTAAATACGAGGTATGTGTAGGTTATATGTAATTATTTTTGAATTGTTAAAATTAATGTGAATCTGCGAATCCTTCATCAACAGAAACAGAACTTATACACAAATACTTATGTAGAATGAACCCGTAATCAATGAAAATACTAACTTGCTGTGTCCAGTGTCTACTTCAAATTAATGCAATTAACTGAAATAATTTAATGTTGTTTTGTTGTTTGGCCAATAAATGACGGCGATATTACGGAGCTTTGGACGTGCCATCCGACTTGTTGAGATCATCTTGACATGTTTTTTCTTGGGATAAAGACATAACATTAAAAGGCAAGATTTCGACATCTTGAGATAATTTATCACGGGATGACGACATCGGAAAAGTTATATGACGACATCCTCAATCTTAATCATTATCTTAGGATGTCGTCACCCAGAGACATCCAGCAAGTGTAATGTCTACTTCATCATGACGTTGTATCAATTTAACTAATATTATATATGGTAATAGGAAGATTATGCTTTTTTAAAAAGACGAAAGCACCTCAGGTCGCCTGTGCATTTTCGAGGCGGTTTGTCGATGCACCCATTCACAAATATAATGTCATTATTCCACTTTTATGATGTCGTTATCCATGATAGGTTAAATATCCAAGGATGTGGCCGTCCAACTTTTACGATGTCGTCATTCTGTGATAATTTATCTCGAGACCTCATCATCCAACTTATAGGATCATCATTCCGTGATAATTCATCTCGGAATGTCATCATCCCGTGAAAAATTATCTCAGGATACCGATATTTTAAATATACGATGTCGTCATTCCAAAAAAAATAATGTATAAGCAGGATCGAAATAAGTTGAATGTCACTTCCAGAGCTTCGTATGATTTATCGTTAAAAAATACATGTACGTGTACTGTAAATTATTAACAGTATACTACCGGCGCCCGTGCTGCCAGTAAAGTATCGTGAAAATTCACAGGAAAGAATTTACAGTGCGGTACAAATCTACGAAAGCCCAATCGTGCCAATGAAGTATAACTTTTCAGCCTGACACTAATTGTTGTAAGACATACTGAAACGTGTAAACGTCGATGAGTTTAGTTCAGAAAAAGTCTGCAAATAACGATTGGTCTGACCTTGGTCAGTATGTAAATCAAGAGTCATACTTTTTAGTGACGTCATCATGAGGCCATATAAATTTTTACAGACAATCCACATACGTGGACTATCAAAGGTCTTGCAAAAGGAAATTTTGAAAAAAAAATCTTGTCTTTTTTTTTTAAGAGATACGTCAAAAAGAATGTTAATACAAGAAATGACAAAATACATGAAACAGCTACTATTTTTTTTGCCTTACTTCGATTGGGTCGTTGCATTTAAGAATCCCATGACCACGACAGCAAAATCTTTGACACATGCCAGGAAAATCAAACTTGAATAAAGGCTATTAGTATTACCGTGGGGGCGCGGCGATGGGGGATTTTTTCCAAAAGGAAGTGAGGTCCGACTTTCTATTCAACAAGACGAGGAACGGTAGTCTCCTCTCAAGAACTATGGTCCCTCTGTAAATTTCTTAGTCTTGGCCTATCCCGATACATTTTCAATTTTCGGTGATGATATCGAAAGCCGGCGAAATACTTGTAACAACAGTGCATACGGCTTTCTGATAATGAAAGCACCCTAGGGCTTACAATGTTGGAAGAAAAATCACTCCTTCTTGTGATTTATGGGGAAAGTCAGTTAAAATGCTTTTAAAGAGGTAAAACGGCAAACGGTGTGGGGAGGGGACTGGAGGAGCCACTGCTGAAAGCAAATCCGAGGTTTGAAAAACTCGTGGAGTACAAAGCCGCCTAGCTAGCCGGCCGCGCACGCGATCCGCGTGAAAAAACACACAGAACCCAAATGCCGTGTTGGTACCCGACCTCACACATTTAGGATAGACGTATCGGCTGTTGATCACCAGCGCAATCCCGCGACTTCTATTCAAAATGGCGGACGCTGTGGACATCGATTTGTACGCGGACGATGTGGATCAGGAATTCAATCAGGTTGGTGTATTTCCTCCATTTTGACATTGCAAACCATACCTTGTGGTGGTTTGTCTTTTGTAGATATTGAAGTTTCGGGAAAAAGTGCCGGCACTGTTGAGCAAATAAAAAAAAATCTAGCACTAGCAGTGACGTCTGCCGATGCACCTCACTGTTTTTTCAAGTTGGTTCCGACTTCCATGCCATGATGATGTGACGCTCACAGGAACTGTTTACCGAGTACCAGTGACTAGCTCAAAATGATCTGATCCTGGGAATCTAAGTGGCAGGGAACAGTTAGTTAGCACTCACTGGAAGCCACTCACTTGACCCTTGAGGCTACCTAGGCCTAACTGGTTTGAATGTTTTTTTTCTGTGGTGCAAGCCCCTAGGCCTAACTGTTTTATTTTTAAAGTGATCTTGATTCGAGAGGGTGTCATAAGCAGGTAGGGGACCAAACCGCAGTCTAGTGATGTCCATAGTTTCTGCTTATGTCGCTTGTTCAAGCGGCAATGAGAGCTATATATGCAGCTAGCTTTACTGACTGAGTGGAGCGTTAGCATTCCTCTTTTTTCGATTTTGGACGGGATAGTCATAGTCATACTCTCCATGCCTGAAGCTGTACGTAGGACGGGTATGTGAAATGAAATATTGAAGTGCGAGTAATGAAGATAAATTACTAATCATGGGAAAGAGCCTGAAAAATGCAATAAAATTACATATGAATAAGCTCAATCCGATAAATATTTATGGAGTTGTAAATGAAATATTCCTGTCCTTATGTCCGATATATTTTTAAAGAAAAACAAAGAAAGCCTGTGACTCAAAATGATGCCCGTGAAAATGAGGTCTTTTAGAAGTAATCGGTTAAAAACTTTTGAAATACTTGTCATATTCAGTATGAATTTCTTACTGATTGCACAGGAAAAAGAACTTAAAATGTTGTTCAGCACTTAATGTTGGCAATAATTAACTGTTTTAAACTAATTTTAGATTTAGATTTTAGGCCTACTAAAATCTGCTGCCAGACTGATTTAGAGACAGTGCACGAAAAACACGGACATAAAGGGCGCCCTCTTTTAGCAGTTATTTCACATACCTACTGTACATATAGTAAGGTTGAAACGGTTCTCAAAAATTCCAAAGACTCACCAAAAATACCTCAATCACCACCTACTGACCTCCGTAAATGCCAACGTCAAACGGTTGGGGCTTCAGTGATATTTTTTTACTTCAAAATCAGTCAAAATCCGACCGTGTTCACTCGACACACACAGCGCTTAAACTTTTCGCTGCCTCCTCCCATTCAAATACGGGCATGTAGAGTTTCTGGCGCAATAACCCTATGGTCGAACACGGTCCTCAAAGACAGGGAACAAGGATGGAGTCACAACCTTTTGTCGTTTTTTTCACATGATGGTACATGTACAGCTGTTAATCCTAACCTTCCCCAACCACACAGAATTAAACAGTAGTAAAGTGTTTAATTCTGTGGGGATAGGTCTGGTAGGCCCATAACAGCCGGCTTTTGCATTGGGTTTGGCATGCCTCAGAAAAACAAAGTCCAACAGCCTCTGTGCACAAAGTCCCATATGGGTGTTTAACTTGGTGTGAATGGGGAAGGTTAGGGCCAGCAATCCTTGGGGGTTAGGGTTAAGGGCGTGAGTGTTGAAATTTGCGGGTTGCAATCCAAGGACATCTGAGGCAGTCCACTGCCTTCACATGAGATTTCTTCATTAGAAGCCCAATGTACTCAAACTATCGCACAATCAAGCGTTTTATTTTGCTCTTCATAAACAATGCAAATGCTTGCATGTATGCACTGCAGATAATTTTGTCGGTACCCGACATGCGTTTTGGAGCACATAGTTCAATATTCATTCTATCTGATTTTGAATGTTCTACAAGCACGCACATGGATTCAAATGCCTTTGCCCAGGATGTTGTGAAGTTTTCTCCAGGCGGAGGATGAGAAGTTAGCTAGGGCTGAGTTGACTCGAATAATTCACTATTTGAATATTCAAACTTCAGTTTGATCGAATATTCGTACTGACCTGCAGATTGTTGGTGAATAAACTATTTACAGAATCAGTTGCAGTAATGCACATAGTAATGCATTATGATCAATATAATAGTTTCTCACATCTACTTGAAGGAGAGTCTCAAGCAACTATTTAGCAAGATTTAAGAGATAAACAAGACTTGTTGCCTTTTTGAAAATGACTGTTCCTTTTGAATTATTTACTGAATAACTTACTTTTTAAATCATATGATTTTCAGTTGAATCTGCTGGAAACAAGCCTCCATAGTGCAATTTTTCTAATTTAAAACAAAAAAAATTTATCCCTTTTCATGAATTTTGCATTTGAATATTCAAATTTACAAAAATTTGAATATTCGACAATTGATTGAATATTCAGTTATTCAGATATTCAGCACAGCCCTAAAGTTAGCATCCTAATAATTGAATATAGCCCTATTGGTTCACTTTTCAATTCAGCATTAATACTCCGCCTCATTTGATTTTGTTTTTTCAGGAGGCAGAGCAGTACAACAGTAGCTCTGGCCAAGTGGACTTGTACGATGATGTCATCACCGCTCCCGCGGACGGAGGCACTGTGCCAGAAAGGGTAATGCCGCTCTAAACCTGTTGCCTTCCAAGACGTGTTTCAATTCCATATTTACGCATTAACAGCTCACAAGAACACCAAAGTACATGTGATTGATGTGAATTGACTTTTTTTCATGTACAGTAGATTCCTGTTGAAGCGCTCCCTGATATAACGCTCTTACTGATAAAACGCTCAATTTTCATTTCCCCAACTGCACGCCCATTCACTGTGACATTTTTATGTGGTTATAGCGCTCCCATTTACAATGCATTTGGAGATATAACACTCATGATTTTCGGCCCCCAGAACCATATAAAGCATGTAAAATGATTCTGGTTACAGCGTTCTTTACCTTGGAAAATCAGATTCTTTGAAAATCAACCCATGAAACCGCATCGCAGGCTGCCACGATTGGCTGGTCAATCCTGGACGCCAGTAGTTTAGGGATCACACAAGAGTGCAGACACATACTGGGCCATGGGCTGGCCATTCACGCAGAGTGATTGCGAGCACGTGCTCACCACAGTGAGCCGCGGCCACGTGGCTTTGCTGTGGCGACATTGTAATTATTATTTTGCACTTTTTATTTATTCTTGTGGTGAAGTTTGGGATGCAATAATCAACTTTGAGATAATACATGTAGTATTTTTGTTAAAGGTGTCTTTCCCCGATAGATAAAATCAGCCGCTTAATTGTACATATACGTGTATCTTCGTGTAGCAAATCTCGTCTTTTCGCCAATCGTGCTTGGCGTGACATGTCTGCTGTTTTCACTTACGTTTTCTAATGTCATAGCACTTACTGTGGTCACACGGTAATTAAGAAAAGTCGGCGATTGGACCGTCCGTGAATGGGGTACGCAGTAGCAGTCAGGATGTCGCGGTGGGTGTAGATGCAGTGCGTGTGCCGCGATGCAGCATGCCTGAGGACCTGTGGAGATAAACAGATACAAAAAATATACTCTGAAAATTACGGTGCATACATTTTCCAGTAAATGTACATGTAAACGAAATTCACATGACGTGTATAAATACATGTATCAAAACGTGTACATAGAGGTACATGTGCGTTGCACATGTTGCGCGTCCATCCAGTTGGTTATAGCGCTGTGCGGTTATAACGCTCAATTCCGTTAGGTCCCCTTGAGAGCGCTATAACGGGAATCTACTGTACATTTACGTTATACAAGGGAAATTTGTCACCGGGATACAGGAGTATAACGTTAAGTCTTTTGCTATTTGCAGAGATTTTCCTCTGGTGATGCCCGCCCGAAGGCTTCAACGACGACGGTTGAGCGGTCATCGACCACAATGAGCTCGTCCTACAGTGGCAAGCGAGTCTGTATGTACGTGGGCAACTTGACGTGGGTGAGTGGCATTAGGCGGTGATTCCTACTAGTGCTGATTGCTAAAGAGTTGGTCAGCCCAGATGTTCTCTAAGCAAAGAGGAATGTGTGCTTAAACCGCTTGCCAGTGGCATTATTCCATTTCACCCATCTTGGTAGCGGTATTAAATTCAGTCGATAATAGTGACTTATTCAAAACGAGAAGCCCACAATTCTTCACAAATTTGAAGTTTACAAACCCTTGTTGATTGATTGAGCTTTTGTTTTAAACGTTTCTTACTGCATTGTTTCCTTTTTGGTGCGGTGCAATATTTGCCATAATGCCCGGCCCCTTGAGGGCGACACGCTCCATCTCATTGGCCTAGTTCCATCCTCTTGATGTGTTCAAACTCAGTATGTACTACTCAAGAAAAGTGAAAAGTTAAAGACCACTTTTTTTCTTAACTTGTAAAATTTTTTCCCAGCAATGAGTGGGATGTGGTTCTTTCATTTTTATGGTTGTCTCGATGGTGTTCTCATTGGAATAAAAAATTAAAAAACTGTTTCCAAACACCAAATGCACATTTCACCGGTAAAATATATCGTAAAAAAAAAAGTATACCCCAAATAAAAAGTGGTCCCTAGCTTTTTTGGAATAGTGTATATGGAATTTCCAGGAGCATGGTCAAATGCCCTTGCATGTTTCATACACATCACCGGGTGTGGAGTGGTTAACCGTTAACAGAAACCCTAACCAAATTGTCCTTTGCAGTATCTTGCCTCTGACGGCTTCCCTGCTCCTCTTTTTGCCGTGTCACATTTCCCATGCAGTGGACCACTGACCAGGATTTGTCCGATGCCATCCGCGAGCTCGGGGTCGCCGACCTGATCGAGATCAAGTTCTTTGAGAATCGGGCCAACGGTCAGTCGAAGGGCTACTCGGTGGTGCATGTGGGTTCAGACGCTTCCTACCGGACCATCATGAGCGGACTGCCGAAGAAGTCAGTGTGCGTTTTTGTTTAATCCCCCCCCCCATTTGCCCCACCCCCACACACCTGCCAACTGATCCTAGATACTATTTGTCACAAAGGCCTTTTCTCTCTCTCTGTGATTTTAGTACATGCAATTTAGTGTCCCGAACCCTGTCCTTGTCACCAAATTAACCCTAATTCCCCCAGGTGTGTGAAATGACATTTTGATATTGATGAATGTTGACTTTCCACAGAGTTCCTGGGGCCTGGAAAAGCCATGGAAATTTGTTTTTCCTCTTTTCGGCCTGGAGAAGTCTTGGAATTTTGTAAAAATGACTAAAGTCATGGAAAAGTCATGGAATTAATCATGGAAGCCACAAAACACTGTGATTTTTATTATAAGGAATAAGCACATAAAATCTCTAATTGTATTTGCAACCTAAATAGCCGAATAGTCCAAGAATTTGCATTATTTGGTAATGGATTTTCATAATTTGGTCATGGAAAAGTCATGGAAGTTTAATTGTCCTTCAGGTGCAGGAAACCTGTGTCCAGTGTAATCCTAACTTATTATACCATCACATTCGGATGTATCAGCAATCTGTTATGAATCCTGGGGGGTAAGCCAGGAAGTCACTGGTCCTAGGAACTATCCCCAATCCTTCAAAATCCTCCAATATACAGGAAACCAATGGCACATTCTTTGTACTTCAGCTTTCAAGGGGCATCAATCCCCATGTAAAGTAACAGTGGCTGGGCTCTACCTTCCTCAATCCTACAAAATCCTTCAATATACAGGAAACCAATGGCACATTCTTTGTACTTCAGCTTTCAAGGGACATCAATCCCCATGTAAAGTAACAGTGGCTGGGCTCTACCTTCCTCAATCCTTCAAAATCCCCCAAGCCTCAGTAATATTTTGAAGGTATTTCAATTATTATTTTGCAGATGTCTTAATAGTTGCGATTGTGCTTCTTTGTTTTGTCAGAGAGCTGCACGGTCAGAACCCAGTCGTAACTCCCTGCAACAGACAGAGCCTCTCGCAATTTGAGAACGCCTCTCGGAAGGGTAAGTCCATCGGCTTTGTGCTTGAACTAGGAGCGAGTCATAACTCCCAAATTGGTATCAGCAGTGGGATGCGATTCCCTGCAATACACATGCATTATACTTGACCCCAACCCAACGATATCTGACAGTGAGTACTTTCTGTGGGATGTGAGCAGTGAATAAAAGGCTTTCTGTTCTAGCTGCTGGATTGTGTCAGAGTCAACAGGTTTCTCACACATAACTGTTGGGTGTCGTTCGATTCAGCAGGGCGGCAGCACAGGGGGTTTGTGTTCATGCAGCATTCAAATATCCGACCCTCAATTTTGATCGACAATTCGGTTACATGTATAAACTCCCAAATTTCCATATTCTCTGATTACATGATCAGGGAAATCAGCGATAGAGCTTTTGAAGAAAGGAAGAAAGCAACCGTATATCAGAAGGCAAATACGGACAGCACTTAATGTCAATCACATGCTGCCGGGTGCTTATGAAAATGCAGTGCACACATGTGGGGCGATTTTCAAGATTTCCAGTTTTCAAAATTCTTCAAAAATTCATCATTTCATTTAACGGACGTTTAAACCCACACAAAGGACTCTTTGGTGGCTACTCTAAGCTGACAGGTAACCTTCATTGACTCCTGAATATATCAGCCAGGCCTGCAGCCTTGAAAAAAGAGCCCAGATTGTGCCGTGTTTCTAAGATTCTTTTGTTCCCGAAACCAGAACCGTCTTTTCAATAGGGGCCAGATTAGCGTGCAGCTCTGCTGTGTGGCTCATCGCTGCTGTGGTAGAGCGCTTTTGTCCCCGGTGGTAATCCGCTTGCTCTAAATGCCCCAAGCCCTGGTATACAGTTTCAAAACAAGGCTGGATTACATGTATCTCCACTATTGAGAGTGAAAAATGTTGGTAATGCCCAGCAGCTCAGTCTTTTGTACCAAGCACGCTCTTTTGTTACAATGCCTAGCTTTTTTGTCCGGGCTTTGTGTATAAAGCCTAGGTGCTCAAAAATGGGTCCCTGGCAGCAAGTGGTTAAGAGTCCTTTACTTGAAAGATGATATCAATTAGATATTCGGGAAGACAAAAGTCAACCTGTTTGGTTTTGATATTGTTGACTGTGTAAACGTCGGAATCAAATCAGCACAACAAGCCTGGAGCTGGACCAAGAGAGGGCGCTGGTTTCAATCATTGTATCAATATCAATATTGATAGTACTGGATGAAAAATTGTTGTTTGGAGATTTGGTCGTTGGGTCAGTACCTGTTCAGTTGAAAGTTCTAAGTAGCTTATTGGATTAGTTATTCTGTTCTAACAGGAATAATATGCTTCACATGCTTTGTTCTTGTCTGTCTGCAGCACAAGGTGGTCAGGTGTCCGGCGATGGACGCTCAGGACCGCCTAGTGACCGACGAGGCCCGTACAACAACCGCGACGGCCCGCAAGGTGGACCGCCACCCCACCAAGGCCCGCCCCACCAGGGCCCCCCGGGCAACCAGCAGGGACCACCACCCCCGTTCAATGCCCCAGGGCAGGGTCCACCCCCACCCTATGGACCTGGAGGCGATCGCTTCCCTGGGCCAGGGGGTCCAAGTGGGCCTGGTGGCCCCCCACCTCACGGGCAGCAATTCCCACCAGGTAATGACCCAGTAAAAGATTTAATACTTGCTGTTCGTGGTTTAACCAATGACCTTCCTAGAGAAATTTGAGATGCCACTGTATGAGCTATCTGCCATTTTGCATGCAACCAGTTTTCGGTAGAATGTGCACAAAATAATGGCTCTGTGTCACAGGGACACCAGCATTATCACTTGTGGTTGCTCAAAGGGGAGGAGTGAATTTTGAAGATAAGCTGGTAAGATTGACATGTGGGGACACATTTGATGGCCCGGCAAGGTCCTAAGGCCCATGACTGTTGAAATTGACATTTTAGTGTGGGTGTGGATGGACTACGTACGTACTGTACTGGGCCTGTGATCCAGGTTGGTATTTCAAAAAGGCCAGGCCATTCAAGAACAAAGCATGTGATCTTGTCAGTGTTTGGCTGCCTGAAAAGCAGCCATACTCCGACAAGGCGCCCAAGTATTGCCGTGCCTGTGTGACTTACGACATGCTTCATTTCAGGTTTGTCCTGTTGGAAAACGTCCAGCGAAGTTGGGCAACCAGTTGAAACGGTCCCCTTACTCGGTGATGAGTGTTGGCATGGACAAAGAGAAGACTGGCAACATCCCCATTTGCTACCCCCCCATGTACCTCCTGTCTCCGCCCCTTGGCAGCTTCTTTATACCCTACCTCACTTGCCAAGTGTATAGTACAAGGGTCCTTGCTCTATGATTAGTTTTAAACACCGCTCGTTGTTCTGTATGACATTTCCCAACAGGTCGTGGCGGAGGCCCTCCACCTCCCCGTGGCCCCCTGCCCCCGGGCCCCCCGGGGCCAGGTTTCCAAGGCCCCCCCAGGGGACCCCCGGGCCCACCAGGACCTCCTGGACCAGGGATGCAGCGGCCTCCCATGGGGGACAGGGGACCCCCTCCTCAAGGGGTAAGTGCGCTTACACCAAAATCAGCCAAAGACCATCACAGGGTCGGGGGACCAATAATATCATTCCTTTTACATGCACATGTGTAATGCCGCAGGAAGTTGTCTTAATGTCAGAATTTACTGCTTCTTATTACGGCTTTGTAGTGTTACAAATTGTTTTAATGTCTCTTGTTCATTAGTTTATTCTTAGTTGCTAAAAATAAAAAAGTTAACCTCGGTTTCATTTCATTGTGGCCAACTTGGAATAAAGTGCATCTTTCTAGCCACATTTTTCAACTTGTGTTTTTGTGAGGTTTTGCTGACCCTCTTTCTTGCCATGACTTCTTCCCAGGGACCAGGCATGCGAGGTCCACCACCCCCTGGCCCCCATGGGCCAGGCGGTCCACCTCTGCCTCACCAAGGACCCCCGGGCCCGCCAGGAATGCGAGGTCCTCCCATGCATGACCAGAGAGGACCACCACCTCGTAAGTCCTCGCTTGCTTCACTTTGTAGAGATTAATCCTAACCCCTAGGGTGTGTGTAAAATCATATTGTAATTGGAGGATTTGGGCTTGTCAGGGTTAAGGGAAATCCTCCCTCATAGAGCAAGTAGAATCCCTGCTTTCTGAGTGTGCTACTTTGTTGAGATTTTGTTAGAAAATAGACTGTGCAAGTGCAGATTCATCAGTGAATTTGATGTCACAAAACCTTTGGAGTAAAATTTGCTTGGATGAAAAGGATGCTTGGTTTTTGCGAATTCACTGCATGAAAACTTGATCTGGCATCACGAATTGGCATACATGGTTGCCTGCATTCTAAGTGTGACATGGCCTTATTGCTTTCTTTGAAAGTAAACTTTAATATGAAAGGAAGCCCATGATTAGACTTCATGTACATGTATAAAACCCTCCTGAACTTCTGAGATGAGTTCAGAAACAGGTAACCAAAAAGTACTGACAGGTGACGAAAATGCACCTGTCATCTCTTAAAATCGGTACTTTGGGGAAGAGGATTAACATATAGCCATAGAGCATTTCATTTCTTTCTCGCATCAGTGATTGCATTGTCCTCTGACGTGGGCCAGGCCAAATTGCCGTAGTGGCACCGGGTGTAAACACAACACATCAGAACGTGAAAATTGAAGCATTTCATTGACTGCCAATGGGCGAATTTTAGGTTCCGAGTCTTTTTTGTTTTTGAGTACTGATTTATGAGGCCCTTGACTTTCGTATAAAGATGTTCAACTGTTGTTACAAGTTAGAACAAGTTGTATTGTTTGTGTAACAATATTACATGGTACAATACATCTGTTGAAAGTTACAAACTGAATGCAAATTGACAACTTTCTAGTCCACTTCGGGAGGGCTTCACATTTCAGTGAGGTGACAATTCCACCCCGCATAAAAATAGAACATTCCACTTATTCCCTCCTGTCATTGATTCACCTCTTTTTTCCACTTTCCATTCACAGACCCCCAGGGGCCCCCATCCCAGGGTCCGCCTCCCCCGCACATGGGTGGCCCCCGACCCCCACACAGCGGACCGCCGGGGCCACCACCTCAGCAGGGGCCTCCTAACTTTGGTGGGCCCTCCGGCCAGGGTCCCCCTCAAGGACCAATGCCTCACCAAGGTCCACCTATTAACCAGGTGAGGGGTTTTGGTTTGTCTGACGTCGTGCCTTCGTGCTTTAAAATAGAACATTTTGCTAATACTGAAAGCGCTGTGTTCTTAGAGTGCTTGCCGTGGTTCTAATTGACGTTGGGGCACATATACTTGCTTATACTGCTCATGGTGTCCGTGAAATATGCTGAGCCTTCGTTAAAATAAAATCATTTGCTTTAGTGTCTTGAAATTGGGCCCTAGTGCCTGTTCATCTCCTGTGCTCGTCCTGAGGTCCGAAATTAGGGATCAACTGATGCAGGTTTTAACTGCCGATCCGATCTCCGATTTTTAATCGGAACATCGGCCGATGTCCGATCTGATCCGATGTTTTTACCGACAATAACTGAAACGTAACCTTAACAGGATTTAGGCCCACTAACAACACAAAACCAGTGTACTCCCTTAAAGTGTCAGTTTACACATTACCGGTAATAGGATTAGGTTTTGCCTTCACAGTCACTGTTGAGAGAATAAATCGTATAAACTCTATACAGCGATCGCCGTTGCGCATGTTACCGATGTAACCGATCACAAAAACCCATGCGGTGCCTACCGGTACATTTATATAGACAACACTTTGGGTTGAATCATGGTAGCCTTTAGTCAAGGCGCACATGGCACCGCTGCACCGTTGCGTATACGTGTATACTGACTGCTCCATACATGTATCGGACCAGCCGCGGTCCGTGCATTGAGTTGTTGCGCCATGGATCGCACAGGTATAATTTCGGGGGTACTTTATGTGGGCCTAACCATGGTATAACTGTTCATTTATCACACCAAATGAAAGAAAAACAGGTTGTATGCATGCTCAAATGAAAAATATGACATTTGTGTTTGCCAAAACTGAGTATAGAGTTTGCTCCTTTCTTTCAGTTAACATTGGCAAGGAAGGTCAAATTTTGCCGATCCGACGTTTTGCTGATGTTTCCAAACATCAGTCCGATCCGATCATCGGTTTATCCTTTTCCGAAATCATCACATCCCAAGCAGCCTAGCAGTGTGAAGCATTCATCATTGCGGACTTGACGAACTCATTTATTCTGTTGCTTTTTTCCCGTTTCCCAGGGCCCACATCCCCACGGACCGCCTCACCAGGGTGGACCGCCACAGTTTGGAGGACCGCCCCCCCAGCAAGGAGGGCCACCCCGTGGTCCTCCGCAGGGCATGCCCCCTCCCAACATGCAGCAGGGCCCCCCGCAAGGTAGGTGTCCTCATCTTGACCGGGGAATGGCGCTCCAGACCAGGATTATTTTTTTTGGGGGGGGGGATCTGTTGATCCATTTATCTGTTGATCCATTTATCGTATCAGATCACCCAAAATTGTTGAAAATCCTGTTGAAGTGTTGTCCTGTAAAGTCAGGGAAAATTGGAGGCAAAATAAGGTGTCCTGGAACCCTGTGTTGGAGGGGAAAAAAGCCATAGAAATCAAAATTGCTGAAGGGGTCCTCTTGATGGGCCACTTTTGATATCGTGATCAATTTATGTGCTCTACCCTTGCCAGTCTATCTGGCCGTGGCCCTCTTCCAGTTCTTACTTCCGGACAACGTTGCTTTGCCAATTGGCATTAAATATCATGGAAATTGTCATCATTCAGTCCTGGAAAGTCCTACCGATTTCTGTGGAAAGTTTGCATATCAGCAGTGAGGCGAGGTGAGGCCCTTGGAGGGTCTTTCTTACTTCTGCAAACATTGCAGATGTATGGTATTATACCTGATGAGTTTCTTGAAAGATTTATTGAGGTTTGGGGCAGGTCTTTTGAGGTAGGTCTGATGACATGTCCAGATTGTACATAGAGCTGTTACTTGAAGACCATTTGAATACTTCTGTGCACCTCAACAGTCAGAGAGTTAAATGTCTGCGTTGTTTCAGGGCCACCTCCACCCCGCCCAGGTCCACCAATGCAGGGCGGCCCTCCCATGCAAGGCGTCCCTCCCATGCAAGGCGGCCCACCCATGCAAGGCGCGCCGCCCATGCAAGGCGGTCCGCCCATGGGCCCCGGAGGCCACTCCATGGACAGTGCCCCGCCCATGCCGGGCGGCCCGCCCGGACCGCCACCCCAGCAGCAGCAGCAAGTTGCCCCAGCCATGCACCCTGCCAGTGCCCCGCCCTCAGGTGGGTTTGGGGCACCTCAGATGCAGCAGGCTCCGCCGCCCCAGAGCTCCGGGCCTCCTCCCATGGGGCAAACGCAACCTCAAGGTCCCTCTCCTCACGTCAACCCTGCATTCTTTCAAGGACAGCAAGGCCCTCCCCAGCCTGACAGACAGGTACGCTACCCTCGAAACTAAAAATCATCTACCGACTAGATACACCTTCTTCTAGTCCTGTTGTATCAAACCTTGTGTTACGCTGAAAAATCTGCTCTGGAGGCCGAAAAATTGGTTCTCTGTAGAACACCATGATGTAATTGTTGAGTGACCATGCCCCCCCCCCCCAGAAAAGCTTATCACTTTGTGCCTTGTCAGAGGTGCAGTCCATCTGGCAGACATGAGATTTGTCAGGATTTTTCCCAATTTCAGAATTTTTCTTTTAGGTTTTTTCCTGATTTCAGGATTTTTCAGTCTTTTTCCAAAGCTGGAATCTCCAGAGTTACCAGGGTGTTTTTTTTCATATAAAAGTTGACATGGACCACAAGAGATGGCTATTTTAGGGGTTGCCTTGAGGCAAATGTCATTGACCCCACACTGCTGTGGGGCCCATAAATCTGCTTGGGATTATTTCATGACTGTTCCAGTTTCCTGCCGTCACACCCTTGATCTGGGAACCTCAGTTATGTTGAAAAAAGTTTCAGATAAACAGCTGTCTCCAAGGGGGAAACAAGTGAGCGGCAAGATATATGTTATTGGGTAATTGAGAAGTGATTCATTTTCTCAGCGGAAAAAAACGTCTCGGGCAAGTGGAGAGTATTTCTGGTTTTTTTATTCAAGAAAGACCACCTTTGGCTGTCACTAACTACAGATAATGAAGTGATTCCTCTTATCGGATTTTTGGATTAACTTTTAATTTGAGACATGTTTAGTAAACTTCCCCATACTATTTAAACGATTAGCCAACACTTTACAGAGGTCGCCGCTGTGAGCCTCAGTGTTTTCACATGTGCAGAATTACATATATATAGTTCCATCAATGCACATGGTCCAACCAATGTCAAAATGAAGATTGATGTTGGGGCATTTAAAACAAGTAATGTTTGTTATTTTAGAATCCACTTTTTCTCAAAAAGTACAGATCACATTTTCCTTTACAGTATTAATGAATGCCAGATTGTCGTCAATCAAACTCTTAAACCTAAAAGGGGCAAAATGCTGTTTAAACGTTTGGGAAAATCAAAACGGACTTGGAACTTTTTTCATTTAAACATGTAGCCTAAATGTCCAACCCTTAATTGTAATTTTTTTTTCCAGTTTCATTTCCTGTTATTTTCTCTATTTTTCAACATTCTTCACTGTAGTTGTTCCTTTTGGGGTCTGCATCGAATGTTCTCCTTATTTTTTTATTGTCATGACTGTCAATTTGTCTCTTGCATTAAAATAGACGTTTTTTAAGATCAAGTTGTGAAAATTCCACCGGTTTTCTTACAGGGCTATGATCAGGGTCCATCCCGTCAGAACTTTGAGAGGGACCAGTACCGAGCGTCGGCTGAACGGTGAGTTCACATGCAATTTTTTTACGAATCCTCATCAAGCCTATGTACTTAAGCCCTTCAACGGATTCAGCACAGACAACCAGAAGTTTGTTACTCACTGGTAACATTTTGTTTTACCTCTTTCCCTGCCTAGCAGCCAAGGGTCCGCACCCCCGGCCGAGAATGGCAGCTACATGCGCCGTCAGGAGGGCCCCCCGCCTACCCAGGCACCTCAGATGAGTGAAACAGAGTTTGAGGAGATTATGAGTCGGAACCGTACCGTCTCTAGCAGCGCTATCTCCAGCGCAGTCATGGACGCCAGCAAAGGTGAGCTTCGCACCTCGCGGCCCGTCAGCCTGACGGGTTTGACGATTAAAAAGACCTTTGTGGTGTACAAGTCAGTTTTGCTCTCAAGTACTTCACAGATACTTTCAACTAGATATTGGGATTGATTTCACTTTTCATGCTCAGTAGTTGAACAGTTTAATACAAAGGATTGCTTTTTTGCAGCTTGCACTGGTAATTGAGACAGGGGTACTTGTGAAAACTCAGTACTTGTGAGTACTCGTGAGTGCTTGTGAAAACCTATGAGTACTAATGATGACTTACAAGTATTTGTGAAGACGAGTGCAATGAAGACAATAATGAGTACCTGTGAAGGCTTGTACTAGTAACGTATTTGTGAAGACGTTTGAGTTTTTGTGAAGAATGACAAGTACTTATGAAGACTTATGAATGCTTGTGCAAACTTGCAGGCTTGTGAAGACTCACAAAGTGTTGTGAAGGCTCTTGCATACATTTGAGTACTTCTGAAGACTTTCGAGTACTAATGAGGACTTGTGAGTACTCGTAGAAAGCTGTGAAGGCATGTTAAGACTAGTAAATACTTGAGAAAACTGGTAAAAACACGAGAATTGTTTTTGAAGTAGTCGACCACTGCACTGGTAGAAGTGTGGACTGACCAGTTTTTTGTTGTCTTGCTGTTACGCACAGGTAATTACCCCAGTGCCATTGAGACCTTGGTGACAGCCATCTCACTGATCAAGCAGTCCAAAGTGTCCAATGATGACCGCTGCAAAGTCCTGGTCAGCTCTCTCCAGGACTGCCTGCACGGCATAGAATCCAAGTCCTATGGCTCCTCTTCTAGGTAAGTTACTTGTAGAAGAGTGTTTGCTTACTGTATATCCTGCCTGGTAGGCTCCCTCCGGGACTTGCCTGTGTCACTTCAGTTTAAATGTCCACAGCCCCCTGGGAAGGAAGGTGCTTAGCAGGGAAAATATTTGAGTAGCAGATATCCTGCCCAGTACTTCAGTAGTTCATAGAATGTATTTGACTGAAGGTTCTGTGACGGTACCTTTAATTTTGGTCACAGACGTAAAGATCGCAGCTCAAGGGAGCGTGATGACAGCCGGCACCGCAGCCGCGAGTCCAAGAGCAGCCGGCACAAGGAGCGGCGGGAGCGCTCGCGCAGCCGGGACCGGGAGTACCGCGAGCGCTCCCGCGAGCGCAGCAGCAACGACTACTCCTCCTCCAGCCGGGAGAGAAGCGACCGGGACCGGGAGAGGGACCGTGACCGGGACCGCGAGTACCGCCGGCGTTAAGACGCCGTGCCGCCAACAGGGGCGCTGATAACCAGGTAGGTCTGCTTTGTAACTGTTTAGCACTTCAGGAGTTTTCTTCTTTCCCTTTGTGTAGATTGAGTTTGCGGCATATCACATCGACAGAGTAGAGAGGTAAGAGTTATGTTATGTAATGTATGGATTGCAAAGGTAACACATTTTAAGTCATGTACAATACTTGAAATCACCACACTTCTTTACCATTTTAGGATGAGTACAGCACAGTTTGGGAATATACACCTGTCAATCAGGCTAACTGATGTTTTTAACCTTAGAGCTGTTGCAAATGAAATCCAATATTTTTAAATTTCTAAGTTTCACTTGTTCCTAATTTTTTTTACCGTTGCCTTGGAAATCCAGAATGGATAAATGCATGACTGAATAATTCTTTTTCAGGATGGAGAAGCAGTGTTTCTTTGCTGAGAAATTGCCTCTGAATCACTGTTTTCATTGTTCACAGGAGATCATGCAAGTTTGACGTTCTCTTTTTGCAGGTAGTCAGTGAACGGTAGCTATGAAGGTGATGCTATTTCTGCCATCTTAATTTCCTCCCCTTGCAGGTATAACTTGCTAAGGTTTGCTTTACAGGTGTTTTCAGTATTATGAAAACTTTACACCTGTCACGCTGGTCCACAGCCAAAATGCTTTCAAACAAATAAGTCAAATTGGACTAATTGTTGGTCACTGAGATGCTTGAGATTGTTAATTTGCACTAGTTTTAACGTTACGGTACTTCGTCAGTTCATGAGAAAGACCTAGATTTACAATTCTTGCTTAAAAATCTGCTATGAACTATCTACGTAGTGCACATAATGTAAACTCAGCTATTTTGGAAACAGTAACCAATCGGCAATTTCAATTGGCATATTTGAGTTAAATTAAGAGCTAAAGAACTCCCACATTTCATCTCCGAAGCAGACTAGATTTGAAAGAATTGTTGACCCATATTTAAAAGTGCTTTGATTGCAGTTTGTTGTTGTCCAATTTTTGAAAGTTTCAGGGAATCATAATTACCGTTTGGCAAACAGAGAGTCGCATGTCTCTGTGTTTCTTATGTTATGCAATTGTTCAAAAATTGCATTTGATTTACATGTATGTTAAATCTGAATCCCTCCCTCTGTGGGTTTGTGACTTGCGTCGGTAAAAATCCAAAACGGTGTAAAGACTTCCGGATATCAAAACCGATTTGAAACTAGTAATCAGTGTCTTTTTCATTTTTTCATACAGTTGACCTCTTTATTTTCCCTTGACTTGTCGTAATGTTTGGAAATTTGTAAGTCAGATTTGTTCAATTTTTCTCCTTTTTGTATGAGCTGATGTTGTTCATCGTTTCGTAATAATATGAAGACTGCTCCATTGGTGTGAAATTGTGTTGGTTGTAGAGTAATGGAGCCTCTAATTTGATTATAAACGCGTAGTTGAAGTATTTGGTGCAGTTGTATTATAATACAGAGTTGCAGCGAACGACATATGCTCGTATTTATTTGAATATCTCATGTATCTGTTGATATTAGCATCTGAAATTACTGATCATTCTTTTATTGAATTGTGTTTTGTTAAAACCGAGCATATTACTTTGCTTGTGCGTTGTGCAATATTCTCCAGATCAGAGTTTGGGTAAAGAAATGGAGCCTTTCATTCTAGGTATTTTTTCCCTAGCCATCTGATGTGGAACAAAATGTGTAATGACTTTTTATAGCGTGAATAAGAATCCCCCGAGGCAGGAGGGGGGAAGGGACCGGAGTTATTGAATGTATTCTGCAATTTATGGAAGACTGGTTTTGAAGACTGTTGACGTACGCATGTGCTGAGTTAAATGAGTGTATATAGGTAGAACTTTCCGTTCTGTGCAGCAGGCAGCTGATGAAAGTTTAATATAGATTTGAAAAAAAGTTGAAACGTCAGAAAAATCAAAACAAAAAAATATTTAAATTACATGTACACGTTATTCATTAACATATCGCTCTTTTTTAACCATAAAGTGTGAATTCTTCACGGTTATAATATAACTGTCCTGGTGCATGTATTTCTTAACAAACGAGACAATTTTTTTCAGCTTTGTTATACATATACCTCTTTCCCGTTTTTTCTTGTTCGGTTTTGTATTCATCAAGGAAAATCAAAATGCATGAGAAATTTTCAATTGATTTAATTCACTCTAGATGACAGGTAAATCTAATGTAATTATGTATACTGTAGCAAAATTTTAAATGAGATAGTTGAAATAATTATCCTTTTTGTTCCTCTCTCGAGAATTTTCTAGACTTTAAAGGAAAAAAAAGCCCCCCCCCAAATTATTGATTCTAGGTTACTGCTTCTTCGTCACAAAGCAGTGGAAACTCCCAAATTGGTGTCAGCAGTGGGATGCGAGCCTTTGCAATACATGTGTATTTCCTTTATCCTAGCCGTGCTAAACTCAACAATATTCCACATCGGTCACTTCCTGTAGGGCTTCGTTTATGTGAATACTAAAAAAGAGGACTTTTGTTTCAGCTGAACAAACTTCCGTTGTTGTATTTTGTCCGGTTCAGGGTGTCTGGGGGAAAAGCCCTGAAGGGGATTATTAAGGGAAATGTGGGATGTGTCGCTTTCAGTGTTGACAGCGGTCAAGCGATATGTGTATTTCTTGATTCTCAAAAGTTCATATATTTCTCAACCCCCTTTATTGTAATGAGTTTACAGAATCGCACATGTATTTGACAACTGCTTGGGTATTTTGCTAACAAGATTACAAATCAGCAGAAATCCATCATGTTCAGTATAACCCAGAAGCTGTAGTCTGCAGAAACACCCTATCTTTAGTTCACCGTTACGTCAGAAGCAGAACCAGGTTATCAAAATCCAGGGATACGTGGGAACTTTCTGGGCCCTTTATATTCTTGTGTTTTAAAAATGAACCTAGATCTGCCACCGGTCTTGTGCTAAAGTCAAACAAATGAAAGACTTTGAACCCATGGGTTGAGGGAAGCACTTATCAAAACACTGCGCTAATTTGTCGGCATTTTGAAATGTATAAATTTTTGCCAAATTTCAGCTGCATTGTGTTGCAGTCTGTTTCAACCATTTGATTAATTTGGAACTAGAATTGTTTGCTAGTTGCTTTTTTATTTGGACAGCAAATTCTCGTGAAGAAGAAAATGATTGTGATTTCAAATTGTAGCTTCCTTTCTAAAGTACAACTGAAAATTAACAAAATTCCTGTGGTGATATAATGGCATTACCCTTTCACAAAATTTGATCACGTTATACATGTACTTTTTCCTTGCGTGTAAAAAATGCGAACCTTGAGTAAGTAGATAACTTCAATATCCCTTTGCTTTTGATAACAGCCAAATGTCTTTTTTTAGCAGAAATTCACAAATGTCGCCCGTAAAACTGTTGTTTTGCTGATTGGACGTTTTGCAGAATGGCAGTGTTAATTTCTCAAATATGATTTCACGGATGTATGCTAGGGCCTGCTAAAATGATGGTAACTTGTAAAATCAGCATGACATTTTTAAAATAATTTTTTAGTTTTTGTATTGGTATTGTTTAAACCAAATAAGAACACCCCAACAAAAACGAATGCAGAAAAGCGCAGAAAAAATTATTGGTTCACTGCAATCACATTTGTAGGGACAACTAAATTAGAAAGGTACATGTAGATATTTATTTTTTCTTTCTTTCTTTCCAAAGGAGTCTAGGTTGAACGGTATGGACAGTTTCAGAGCAAAGGCTTTGGTCTTCAAGCCTCAGGCTTTGATAATTCAAGGCCAAGCTTTAGTTAGTGAGTTAACCAAGGCTTTGATCCTCGAGGTAAAGGCCCTGTTGTACAAAAAACACGTACGGTATTTCTGCTAACTTAAAATGTCACGCCATACTTAATTGCTCATTAACAACAAATGTACTGTGCCTCTCATGGTAACAAAATTTGATGTTGTGAAAGTGAACAAATTCTACGATGATTTCTGTTCATGCAGAAGCATAATTAAATTCACAGCTCACCATGAGCCGTGTCTTTACAGAACAGCACAATTTCAAACGTTACCTGGAAAATTGAAAGCCTCGATTGGCCTGACAGAGCAAGACCCCCAAACACCATGGCCTTGAAATGTCAAGACCAACGCCAGGGCTTTTGCTCTTACGGCTCCAAAGTGAAACCTGGCAGCCCTGAGACCAAGGCTCAGCCTCAATGCATTACGTCACTGAAGGGGATTTCTCATGCATGTTCAACCTTAGCTCCTGGAAAATAAACCAGCTTTGACTCTGTTTACTGCCCGGTGGCCATTTATTACATGTATATTTGTAGAGGGCGGTAGTTGATTTTGGAGATTGGTTTCCACTCTGATGTAATTTTTGTCCTGCGCTTATGCGTATACGTGTAGATCATTTTAATTGGCCTCATATAATTTGAGACAAACATATCTTTGGCTGGGAAAATCTCGTAGCTTGATAAACATGCACATAAACGTCTATTGTTCAATGTTAAAATTCATGTTGGAGTCATGGTGAAGCATCTTGTAATTTTTGGTTTCAACTGAAATTAGAAATGTATATGTATTGGGGCCGACATGTTCTCCTGATTGACCGGTTTTAATGCCTCTCTTTACTGAAGTAAATAATTGACAGACGGTCTTTGTGCAACTTGACAGAACGTTAGTCTTGCTTTAATCAAAGCTAAATTTTTGAAGCATTTTGATTAACGTACCGTTATTGTAGAATACATGTAACGACGTTTATCAGTGCACAGTTGGCTTCGTTGCTTGCAGTTTGTAACTCAGTAACTGTAGATTGGGGTGCAAAATTTGCCTACTTACCTTAACCACCTTACCCTTTTTAAAAGTTGGACGTTTATTACCGCTTACTTTTGTTTCTGCTGCTAGACCACGACACGTAAATGTCAGAAATGTAGGCCTAATATTAATAAGTTAATGGGCGGATTCAAAATGTTTGACAAATTTACAAATTCTTATGATATTTAATCCTTTTGTTGTGCGCGCGACATAATTTACTTTGATAAGCAGTTATGTATTAGGGAACAGACGCATGTGCACTGTAAATTTGTGTGATTTGTTTCAAGAGGTTTGAAATCACAAATCGCTCACGATGAGACTTCTGTAGGATTTTTTAAAAAATGCCGCTCAGAGGCTGTTTTTTCTCCCGAGATATTCAGTTGTATAATTTAATGAACATCAAAAATTGAATTGCATACTGTGTATGTCTGACATGTATTGTTAAAACTTTTTGCCAGTTCTGTTTGTACTGTTTTCCGCGATTCAGAAAAATGAGCGATGTGGGATAGGTCCTCGGATAAAAATTACAATACATATGTAAATTGTAATTCTAAAGAGACAAATGGACCAAGTGGTTAATGCATATATGGGTCTAACGCACTCTAAATTTGTTGACGACTTACAGGGACACGGTTCCTTTTCGTGAAGTGTACATTTTTTGTACTTGAACAAGGAAGTTTGGAAGCGCGTTTTAAGTTGCGTTTCGACCTGTATTGCAAATGTTGGAAGACTTTTTTCCCAGTTGCTTATACGAGTGATCTTCTTTTTCAGTAGTCAACAGGATGTACCAGATACCAGAATTGGAAATTTTTAGAATTAACTCATTTTAACATACATCTATGTAATCTCACTTCTCAACTTAGAATTAACACTTACATTAATAAATAAACACCCTTATTTCCCGAGGATGAAATTGGCTCTAAATGTTGGATGGAACAGTTTGTGAAATGTCGATAATTTGTGGAGTGAATACCCACTCTGGAATTTAGAGGGCAGAGCCGCAAGCCTCATGATGTGAGGAATCATTTTTGAAACAAGTGTGCGCTTTTTTCTGTATGACTCTATGTCTCTGGCATTTGAAGCTGTGTGTAGTCGAATTTGCTCATTTTTTTCAAAATGGAGCCCCGATTTGCGCCCTTGTGTCTCTTCAACCTTTATTTTCAATCTGGACATGTTTTCAAGGATAGTGCAATCGCTGCAATGGAGTTTTTACTATAACCCTTAAAATGGACATTTGTACATCAAACAACGTCTAAATTCAGTTTCTGATTTTTTTTTAATTTTAAAAGGTATTTTGGAAATTGTTTGGTTTTTTATGCACATGCAGTTTTCCATATCCGTGGGCAAAACCGTGACGTCATTCCAGGGACTGGACTGCAATGCTGCTTTGATTTGGCACAAACAAACTATATATAAAACTGTTTTTGCTGCGCTACTTTCTGTTTTCTATGTGATCTGTTGCTCTGCATCAAAGTACTGGGCAGTTTTAAAGCCAACGAGCTACCTTTACTCAAGAAGATTTTCTGCGAGTAATCTTTGGGTTCACAGATTAATTAAACAACACCAAACCTTCAACTGCAGTGTTTTCCTCCCTGATTGACATCACGGCAACCGCGCCTTCCATTGTTGAGAAAAGCTTGAAAATGTTGAATGTTTCAACGAGTGAACGAACATTTTAATACACGAACCCCAAAACGATACTGCTTGTTTTGATACGTCAAAGTGGAGTACGAAGATAGTCAAAAGTGTATGAAAACTGAATCTCATTTCCCGCGAAAGTGATTTAGTATCGCTTTTTTTCTATTTATGTGAAGTTCTTTATATCAGAAAAAAAACAGTAATTGTATCTTTAGTAGAGCTAGAAGTTTGCAGAATTGAGGGATTTTACTGTGATTACTTTTTCTGCTCTGGCCCTCTAGTTTTATTTCGGTGTTTCATGTTTGATTCAATACATAGTCTGATTGCAATCGTATCAGATAAATATTTGGGGTTTTTTCTGTTGGTAATTTATAAGGACAAACTCTAAACTGTAGATTGTATGGCTCATAAAGGAATGTAAAAATCATGGTGCTGTTACTCGTCAGAAATGTGACAGGAAATTCATGATGAACAAAAATGTAGTGCCCGGTATTTTCTCCTCGTACTTCCTAGAAATCGATTTTTGCACCACTTATTTAAAGATTGAATTAGTTTGTAAATACTGTGCCTTTTACGTCTTGGACTATGCGTGTAATTGGAAGGTAGCTTTTTGACAGTTTGCAGGTGACACAGCGGCTCTGCAGTGTTGATGAAAACATTTTGGACTAGGAAAGCTGTTGTGAAACTACCTGTTTCTAATTCAACCTTTGTCGCAGGTGTCACAATACAGATCCATGTACATGTATTCATAGTTATCCTGCGCAATGCATTCATTGTATGACTTTCAGCTGCACTTTTGGCAGTGGCCGTCTCGGGTATGCACGTAGGCTAAAGTAAAGTCCAGTTGAATTAATTAATATTCATGTTTAGTCTTTAAGAATATCGTAGTGAAGACTTCGCAGAGATTACCTCGGTGGATTTCTCGTGATTTGTTTTTCAATGAGAGTGCACAAATGCTGTTTTGGTGGCAAACTGTCGGCCAGTAAAACGTAGTTACATGCATGTATTGGATTCATGAACTAAACACTAGTAAAAAAGGTGTTACAGGAACTTTGGTGATGTGAAAAGTATGCCACTAAATGTGCCGATCTAGAGATGCCAACGTTTCGTTTTAGAAACTTTTGTATCTCCCTGTACATATGAAAATATTTATTTGTCCGGGAAATATTGTTACGTGGACTACATTCGCCCTTAAATGAAAATGGTAATTTAATGAATTAAAAATAAAGCGGATCCCCAACTTTATTCACTCTTCCGCTGCTGCCGGAAACGCAACATTTGTTTGTGTTGGCCAGAGAGTAGAAACTGTTTAGAGTACCGAAGTGTGACGTCACCGTGAACCAGAAAGTGCAGTGCAAACGAATGGAGTACGCGCGCGTGTTGGTTCACGCGCTGGTTCACGTACTCAATGCCTTTTACACACTAATTGTGCGCGTGACGTATTCACTTCGGTACTCTATACACCGTTACGTTGGTTTGCTGGATAATTTTCTGAAGAGTCGTTTTAACGTCCAGTCTATCCTCTTTGCGCACAAAATAGCCTTACAAATTAACATTGCCCCCGTTTCCCTTGTGAAAATCTTAATATTGTATCGGACTTCAATTTCATTTAGATAGTCGTACAGTAATGTTTCCATATTTTCAGGTTACGCATGTTTCTTGGTATACTGTCTCTAGTTTTGGGGTTTGTGTCTTTTCCAGTGTATCAGCCAATCGAGGTGCAGTAGGCTTGTGAGACGTACAGTATTCGATCAGGTTGGGTCATCGGTTCCCATGTGTGGTACATGTACATGTAGTTCTTGCCGGAATGTATGGTCTAAATATGAAAAAGTGGTCAAATTTTGGATGGAGGGAATGTCGTAACGGCAGGATGAGATTTCTTGAAGCTTTCATCCAAAGCCTGCCCTGTACTGATGAAAGCAAAATACGGCATACATGTATATACTTTGTTTAGCGTTTCTTATATTAATCCATTGTTTTACAAATATGTATTCGAAATCCTCCCCTATAAATTTAGCCAAGCCAGCCGGGACCAGTATCATGCAGTGTTCATTTGTAATTATCACAGTCCCTTTGCCGGTATGCTACTAAAACTAATTATGTCGAGGCGTCTCAGTGAAACCTGGTCTTTGGGATGAGGTTTCATGAGAAGATCCGATGTCATATCTTACCTTAATATTAAAAGTTATTTATTTTCCCTTCGGCGTGTACATGTATTTGTAATGCCGTAAGCGAGCTGTGGCTCGTATTAAATGGAAACATACGTTGATAAATTCTGCTGGTAACAAAGTGAGCCCAGTAAGCACTAAATGCTCCATTGTTGTTAAAGTGTTCGAAGTATTTTAAGTGTACCTTGACCACTTTTTGTTTCAGTAAGTCTCCAAGTGCTAAAATTAATATATAAATTGGCATGTTGCCTTTTTTGCGAATGTGGTACCTCAACGACAACAATGATTGAAAAGTCCTTGCATTTGTGAAATTGTCAACCCTGTAAAAAAGAGAGACCAATCATCGATAACGAAATGAGCAATGTAATGTGATTTCAACTTCCATTTTTTCAAGGACAGTTCAAAAAACGGATTTTAACCCCGTGGGTTGGTTTAGCTTCGAGCTTCTTTGAGTGTAATATTGTTTTGTTTTCTGTTAACAGCAAGGCTGTTTGTTATTACATTACGTGTATGTACGTTGTAGAGGCATTTATTTGTGTTATATTTTAGACAAACGTGTGCCTTTTCGTGTATAAATCTCACTACAAAAATGTAAATTGTGACTCACGATTGTCTTTCGTCTTTATACTATTTCTTGTCTTTGTATCTATACATGTTCGTCCGTTTTACTGATGCTCACCAATTTCTTTTTGTTCTCTCGATTACACCCATTTTCCGTCTTTGTAGGCGATTTCTGACGTGAAGACCAGCCATTCGTCAACTCTGTATTTCACAGTTTTTGTGTCATCGGCAAATCCACAGCATTGGGGGAAAACTCTGATCTTTGAACTTTTTTATCGAGAACTGTAATGTTAGTTGCCTCTTGCACCCTTACGGGCTGTTTTTAGAGCAGTTAATTGTGAAAAAGTTTCAACGTTATTAATAGTTCAGCACTTGCACGATCAAAATCTGGGTTTTTGCTAACATAAACAAAGCACTAAAAGGCGGTTTTTTTGGGGGGAGGGTGTAAAAGCAACCTTGTGATTGTATGTATTTTTGTGGCCCGCATTTATTGCGGTTCTGTTGACAGTTTGTTCAGAGCACGCAATGTTCGACTAGTGTAAGAAGGAAAACTTTATTGCAATGAAACAATGCCGTTGAAATGTAACAAATATAAAAGAGAAATGGAACTTCAACAAACTGGAAAGTTTTGCGAGGATCGAGGGAGTTAGAGCCACCTGCCTCAGGAGTTGGAGCCACCTGCCTCAGGAGTTAGAGCCACCTGCCTCAGGAGTTGGAGCCCTCGTGCCTCTGTCGGCGACCTGTGGATATCACTTGGAGTAGCGTGGCGTCTCATCAGCCGCACCAGGAAGAACAAGCCAGCACTGCTGCAACGGCATAGTTCAAAGGTCACTCAGATACAGCATTCCACGCCCAAGCAGAGACACCGTTCGATTCGAGGAGTCGGCCAGAGCGCCCCCATCCGACTTTCTGTGCGAAAAGAAACCTCCAGTGACGTCACGTGTAATCTTTCCTCGCTGATACAACTATTGTAATCAAGACACTCCGAGTCCGTAAGACCATACCTTTTACATGTTTGATTGTTGCATGTTCATTGTCTTTAAAGTGTACACGATTTATTCCAGTTGTTATAATGCCTGTCACGCAGGTACATGTCTAATTATGAAATGTGGCTGTACAGAAAAATTACTTAACGACTATGAACCATTTCGCCAACGATTCGCTGTAAATCCTTGCGTCAGTTTTGAGCCTTTAGGGCGGTATGTTATGTTGCCTATTGTCAAAGTCCTCTGCCAAGGTTTACCAGTATATGTAACTGGCAAAGTTGTTAAACTAGAGGTCAAAATGTCTTTAGTGCCGGAACAGCTCTTTGCCAAACCCTTTGGGGGAGTTTATAGCCACTCTCATACCATCAGAAGCCTGTTTATCAGATACTAATTTTTTTGTTTGTTTTAAGATTTTCTGATAAAACTTTGTGTACATTTTAAAACCTGTAATACGTTTTCCCCCCCTTAACCCAGTTACAAAAATGTTGCTCTGACTTTTGGGAGATGGCTGGTTTGCTATCGGTTTAGTTGATGTGCCTTCCACTTTTCCTGACAAAAGCTTTAAATGGGTCAGGCAACGTTTGCACCTGGCTCAACGGTCTATTTCATGAACAGCGGTGAAATCCACAGTGAGAATGTTCTTTCGCTGTATGTTGCCTCAACGAGGCGCACTGTGTACCGCCATGCTGTGTCACGTGGCTGTCACGTGTTGCACATGGCAGATGTCGAAAGTAGTGTTACAAATCAAAACCTCGTGACGCTTTGTAACCCCCCCCTCAAAAAAGTGATCATTGATGCAGAATGACAGTCGTCCAGTTTTTCTTTTAACCCACTGGTCTTTTAGCACTGAGGAGGGTCGTGTCACTTGCAATTCAGGACCTCAGAATGAAATCGTACGTGTCTCACGCCACGTTCTACGTCAGAGCAAGATTTTCAACCCATTTCCTTTTTTAAGCTTAAGTTACTCATTTCAAGTATTGCGTAGAATAAATTGCTTTAATGTTGCAAGTTCGAGCTCACAAAGGCCCAATTTGTTACAGCCTAATCTCTAAATTACACGAATTGTCTTCAAGTCACCAGTTTTTAAAGGAAAGTTGTGTTTTACATGTATTATCTTTCCCCGTTTTTACTCCTTTTTTTGGTTTCATTTTGTCTTTTGCAAGACAAAATGATGAAAATGTTCTCTATGCCTGAAAATGTAAACCAACACTCCAGTTTCTTTCGAACCAGAGTTCCTTTTTTTAATTTCTGTGAGAGAAATTGTTCAGATTCTGTTCAACAAATCACAGGGAATCAGACTTGAATTTCATTGTGAAACGCTGTGCTCAAAAGACAGATTTTTCAGCTGAGGCTTATATAATGGGACTGTTCTGCTCATTTCTGCACAGGTTTGCTTTTACTGTTGTAGAGGGTGCGCCCCCCCTTGGGATTTGTATGTGCTTTTTTCTTTCTTAGCACACAGGAATACCGAGCGACCAGCACTTGCGTATCCAGGGTTTTCCCGCACATTTGTGACGAGGTGTTGACTTGGCACTGTGCCACCGTAGAGGGCGCCGAGAATCACATGGCTGGAAACCAGATGTATATATCTGTAGGTTCTTCATTTGTGTTACAAGTTTGAAAAAGTGGGAGCAGGAGCTGACACATAAAAATGTCCTACAAAATATTATCGGTTGCCCAGCGTTTCTAACAGTTTTTTCCTGTTGCTCGTAGGTTTGGAGCAAGCAAGATACAAGACGTTCTTGTCATGTCACGTCACTAGAGGGTTACGTTTGAGATATCTATCATTTTCAGCATGAATAGGCCTAATTAGTTTTAGACATCAGTCCAATGGGAGACTTTGAGGCACTTTATGGCGACAAATGTCCCGGGCTTTCTACCAGTTCTGAGCATGCGCGCGTTGTTTTGAGCATGCGTGCAAAGTTATCAGCACGCGCAATACCTTGAAAAAGACCAGAATTGTTTCATTGGCGCTTCGGCTGCGAGTTAGCTGAAGTTAACACGTTTGTCTCCTTGGGGAAAAAGGATGTACGTATGTTCCCACCAAGCAACATGTGGGCAATGCTTTATCGTAACGGTATTTACATTCCAAACTTTATATGGAAGACCACAGAGTACCGCTGCGCTGCAAACCGTATGGATAGCTTTTCTGGGACTTCGAAGAAGTATTTGCACTTCCATAAGCCTATCCCTGATATTCTGCCACAGTTGTTTCATGTGCACAGAAGACCCACTTGAACCCTGCAAATGAATAACGGGTGAGTTATCTGTATATATACAGATCATTAAGTACATGCATCAAAAACTAGTAAACATATATGCCGGGAAACCACGAGCAACTCTGAAGAGGTTTGAAAGCTGGAGGTAAGAAGTCCGGTCAGTGTCTTTTCCACAGAAATATTGAACATAAACGTGTCATTTGAATAATAAAGAATACAGGAATTTGTGCCAAACATCCAAAGGAATTGTGTCGTGTACCTCATTTGGACGTCCAGTAAAGGTGAGCAGAACAGATTCTAAATTTTCATCTTTCATAGGTTTCATCTTTATGCTGCTGGTGCAACCGGAACCGTTATCGCCTCATGCGCTTCTCCACCAATCTCAGTACATGAACATGCATGTCACCAGTGAAACACTCCATTACGTGTATGTACGCACGTGTACGGGGCACCCGCGGTACAATGTTGAACACGCAAACCAACCAAAGTTATCTGCTCCGAATGGCACAAAAGACGGCTTGCTTTTTGGGGGTACGAACCGCCTAGGCGCACCATAAGGTGCGCAAGTATATGCGCGTTTGACGCGGAGCACGTTGAGTACGCATAACTACATGTACAGTAGTTTATTCCGGCATGTACATGTATGGTCTCTGCGTACACGCAGGACGCGTGCAAGAACCCGCTTGTAACCACCTGTCTTTCTTTTGCCGATTGAGGGTGCACTTCAGCTCGGGGCGGATAAAGAGCAAATTCTGCGAGTCCCAGCTTTTGAATTCTTATGTTTTGCTTTATGTTCTACTTTTATAACAAAGTCGTGGTTGTAACAAAGCAATATGTCTGGTCCCTGTAGGTAACTTTGCTACAACAAGGGTTGACGGGATCATGAACAAAATACGCTATACACGAATCCCCCTTGAATGACTGCAGTACCACAGACTGGAGTTTTGTGTCGAGTGCACTCTGTAAGCGATGACAGCGAACCTATACGTACGAGTGCTCCCTCTACAAGGGACAGAGTTGCTTCGATCGGATTCGCAGAATGTTGCCTACACCAGGAGTTGAAATGTCGAATGTGGCTGTCGTAGATCTTTCTCGTTGACAGCCGTCTGCCTTTAGCAGCCAGGGCGGCAGCATCTTAAGAAAGCCTTGCTTGCTGAAAGGATCGTTGGACAATGTGCTGTACCTCCCCGTTGGCTCAGGTTAAAGAAAAGCCAGACAAATTCATACGCGCGTCTAAATTTCATATGTGCATGCCGAGCATACTCAAATCTGGGTACATGCAGAGAATTTGTCAGGGACCCACATACAAATTCTTCCTCGTTTACGTTTCTAAAGAATAATGACTTCGACATCCTGTGCGGGGTGAAACGTTTTCAGTTTGCTTTACAGGATGATAAAGTTTGTTTGAAGGTTTTCCTAGCAATAAGTGCGCTGTTGCCGTGATTTCACTTTAGGGAAGACTGTTTAGTTGCAGATTTGCTTGTTCAAATTGAAAACAATGAGTTTAATTGTTCATTGGAAACCTTTCTGAGAGGTGGTTGCTCACTGGCGTACTACCACGCACTTGCACAACAGTCGCAACAACTTGCCTCTAGGCTAAATTATCAGCAGTTTTCTTTTTTGCATATCTGTAGAACATCAAGGTTTTCTCCCTGAGGTACAACATCGGAGGTTAGTGCGCTACCTAGAGTTCGTAACGCGTTGGCCAATCACGACGCGGGAATTCTGTCGATCCAATGTGCGTTTGGAAAGGACGACAGATTTCGCACGTTGTGATTGGCCAATTCGTTGCAAACTCTTGGAGGCGCACTGTTGTGAATCTCTCGTATTGCATTAGCATAACACCAAACAGACACCAAAATATAGGCCTACGTTTTTAAATAAATGTGGCAAAACAAAAATTTGATGTTCATGTGTAAGGGTAACTGAATCACAAAGGTGGTTTATATTATTCTGCCCTTGTAGGTGCACTTTCAGGATACTTGTATACTTGTATGTACGTGTTTACCGGGGGATGTGTCTAGTTCTGTTTGTTAGCTCTATCGCTGAGCCGTTCCAAATCCGGTTTTAATATCCGTCATGCTTTATCAAATCAGGAGATAAGTCCAGGCTGGCTGTGTGTATAATACTTGTCATGTTCTTTTGGGGGAGTTTGAAATCTCAAACCAACGCCAAGTAGGACAATACCAAGACTAGGCTTGAGTACTCAACACTGATGCAGCATAAAATGAAGCTTAACTCCGCCATTAACAAAGAACGTCAATCGAAATGAATAAAATCTGTTTTAGTGGGAAAATAAAACAGAAGTACAGTAGGGCCTACGTGTAATATGTGTGTATGAAATGAGAGTACAAGGTTTACGTATTGCTAGATTTGGTGGTGGAATAACCCGGACAAATTAGGCCTACATCAAGGTTATATCACTGGAAAAAAAAAGAATTCAGATGCATGTGCACAAATCTACAAACAAAACCAACATGGTGTAGATCATAGACGCCACGTGCCAGTAACGGTATTTTTTGGAAATGCAAAAATGGAGACAAGGACGGATAGGGGAAGGGGACCCTGCCCCCCCCACACACAAGGAGCTATAATTTAAATTATAAGAAGACAATTTTGATCTGTTTCATGACTAAGTGTGCAAGGATTCCCAATTTGTAGTCTCATCCGGTCCCCTCAGAGGTAGAGAGGAGACTGTACATGTCGACGGCCCTACATTTTATAGAAAGGCTTCCTCAAGACTTCGGTTCGCGAGTTCTGCTTCGGTCTTGTCTGCCCAAGGCCACGTCTGAATCACTACTTGACTAGGATGATATCACACATCTCTCGACTTGACTTGTACTTTGACAGAAAGACTTGTGATTTCCTTGCGTTCAGATAAAATTGGCGTTTGACTTAACCTGTGATCAAACGATGTATGACTTGACTTGTGACTGGACCAAGTGACTTGTGACTTTGCTTAGACTTGCAGAAATTGACTTGTGACTTGACTTTCTTGCCAAAATTGACTTGCTACCACCTGGTATGGACGTATTGCACGATATCGGGAAGAAGGCGCACCTAGCCGTAACCAGACCCGTCGCCAAGGAAGCAATTAGCCTAGCTCCTCCATCGGCAAAAACCATCAGCATCAAAATGATCTGTATTGTGATATGCCCTTCCCCCAAAAAAACTCGAAGCAGGCAACGTCACAGGGCTGGCTGTGACTTGACTCGGCTGATTGGTAAAGTTCACGCTAAATTGGTGTCCCGGAGTCTTGGTTTGGGTCGTATAGACTAAACTGCAGCAGAAACGGCCAACGGTTGTTTAATCTATACGAGAAAAATTAATAAACTGATTGATCCAGCCAAAGAAAAACAAATTAAAGGGCAGCTCTTTCCGAATATTGACGTATTGTCTTGCACTGCTGTTTCATGGGTTATCGCGTGTGCGTGATGGGCTTACCAGAGCACTGAATGCATGTATTGAGGCGGGTAGCCAGTTCAGCAAATTTGTTGTACAGAACAATGAGGAAACTCGACTTGAATAAAGGCTACAACTTAACTTTGGGAGAATGTTTTGGAGACGGCAAGTGTTGATTATAAAGAGCACTTCAAAGGGAAACACGTTTTCTCCGATTTTATCTGTTCAAATAAATCTGGAAACATGCAAATCGAATGCAGTGTCATTTGTCTTTAGAGCACGAATATAACAAGCTGAGAAAGAAGGGCCTTTTTCTGTTCATGCCAATTTAGATTTTGTCATTCGGCGAAAACGAGAGCCCTCGATGTGTTCGTAGCGGATAAACCCGTGTACATGCCAAACAATGAAAACGGCGAGGATTCCACTCGTTTTCTGTGTTTCTCGGAATGGCGCAATCTACATTCAGAATTTGCATCTTGGCATGAACAGAAAAAAAACCATTTTAGCTTGTTATACTTGAGATCTAAAGACAAATGAGTCTGCATTCGATTTGCATGCTTTCAGATTTGTTTGAACTGATAAAATCCGAGAAAACGTGTTTTCCTAAGAGGTGCTCTTTAAGTCCAACATTTCAGCAGGGGGAACCCACATTGTGCAAGGGGGGGGGGGAGACTATTCTCCTTTCAAGACTGGCAATTTTCCCATAAGAAAGTACATGGCGTATCCCGGACAGTCGTGTAGTTGAAAAAAAACAAACAAGTCGGCCAATGATGATATGAACTGTTATGGCATGCTTCCTTTTCGAAATTTTGATTGCCATGGATGGGGGAAGAAGGGGGATTTCCCTGTAGCAAACACGGCCCTTTGTGATAAAAAAAGCTGAAGTCAACTTCAAAGAAATACTTTTATATATGCCAGGAATGTTGTAACTCCAGAGCTGTTGTTTGAGGTCAGTCGGTTGGCCCCGAGATGATCTGAGCCGATTGTGCCATATATCACGTCCTTGACACGCGAAGCTGCGTACGTCATGTACTGTAGGCCCTATAAGCTAACTCAACTGCCCTCTCGGCACGAGCAAATATCAGAAGGTACTCTCAAATTTCTGTTGAGATGGCAACTCGCCTCCCGCAGTCTACCTTGAGGTTCAACGGTGGACTAGGGATTTTCCCACCTGTTTTGCGAGTAGCATGCACGAGAGCTTTTTTATCGAAAACAATCGCCCCTTCTGCGTGGCATGAAAAGTTCATGGGTTGTAGAGTGTACAGCTTGTATACTGCACCATTCCTTCACAAGAATTTCCTCACTCGCTATTTCTGAATCAAATGATTCACGTTTAACTGTTTGGTGCAAGTTCTCTCGATGATAAAAAAAATTTCTGACAGTGGTTTCTTGTATTTGTACTCTCATTGTGAAGTGCACCTTTATACAACCACGAATAACATTTCATTTTTCCCTATGGTGAAGACACCTAATTACAGGGGTTTCTTGTTCTCGTGTGAAACGTGTGCTCAGTGGCCTCAAATCATGAACTAAAATAGCTGATCTTTGAAGAAAACAAACTTTACAAAAGCAAAATAACCGATGACCTGCCAACCTTTCCCATAGCAACACGTTTCTGCCTTGGGTGGGATCGGACTTTTTGTCTTTATATATGCGAAATGGCACAAGTAGCACTGCGAACACTAAAATTGAAAGTGGGATTGGTTGGAATTTAGAAATTTGATAAGTTACAAGAAGTGCCGCTTAAAACCACCGCGGCTTTTGAACTCCAGTAGGCCTACGGTATAGGCCTGTGTCCAAGCTACAATTTCTGTACATGCTTCAGAGTTCCTGCATAAGTGCTCGATAATACAATGGGTCTGGGCCACTGTGCTGAATTCGAGGTTATTTTTTTGTTTGTATTCCACGAAATCATGTTTGGATTTAATCTGGAGGGTAAATAGGCCTACAATGCTAGCCGTGTCCGGGTCACAATTAGTTAAGGCGAGAATTCAAGTTCGACCGTCAGTCAGTTGCGATTTAACTTCGCGTGTGTGCAATCCGCCCTGAGTTGAAGTGCGTGCACCCTCTGACAAATGGTAAGTTTCCCAACCACGTTTTTGTACGGGTGCGGTGTGCACGCAATTGAGACCGTTATAGTCAAAGGCGCATAAACTCCGCACTTATATGCGGGGATCGAGTGTTTACCGAATTAAATAAAAACTAGAGCGCTAAAATTTCATTCTCCGCCCGAAGAAAATCTGACGCCGTCCTGGGCGCAGACATTTTGAATCTTCGAGCGTGCTTGTAGAACATTCGAAATCAGACGGAATGAATCTCGAATAAAATAGGACTATCCTAAATGCAACCTAATGCAAACTACACGCGAACGTCAGCGCGTCTTTTGAATAAAAGACGCACACGTACAGAGCAAAGCATTTTATTTACATCTATAGCTGATTGTTTTAAATCGAATGTTTCCCTGTTTCGAGCAAGGTCGCCTGATTTTCTATGCATGTCTTTTGATGGCAGCTTTTTGATAAGTGAAATTCAAAATCGTTAAAACCCTTAATTCAGTCAGTGTTAAGCAAAGAGTTCCGACTCGTGGACACAAAGTGATGTCCGCTGGGTGCATCCGTGTTTGTGCACAAACCTATGGAAACTTGAAATATTGTACGGCTTTTGTATTGCTATAATTATTTGCATATCTGCGTCTGTACGTATTCCAACAGGATACGTCAACAAAGCCAATCTGAACGCACAATCATTTCATTTTGCGGCTCGACGTTGACGTTGCTCGAATGTTAGGGAAAGATTTGTTTGAAAAAAAATCAGCCATGTATACGAACATGTGACATTGCTTTGTACGTGTGCGCCTTATTTAAAAGACGCGCCGACATTAGCGTTATTGTTGTACTTGCGGTCTGCATTTAGAAAACATTATTCGATAATCATAATTTCTGGTTTTGAATATTCCACAAGCACGCACATGGATTCAAAATGTCTGCATCCAGGACAGGGTCAAATTTTCTCTGCGCGGAGAATGAGAAGTTAGCGCTCTAGTTTTTATAGCTCGGCTCTGGAGTACGGTGACTGTCGTGACGCGTGCGCATCGGGTACCAATCAAACCCGATTAAAACAACGTCTGCGGCCATTGATCAAGGGAGATCAATGGTCACGGCAAAATCCATATGCAACGCGCAGGCGTTTGCGTGTTTTTTTGTTGGGGGGGGGCTCAGAGCAAAATGAAACGCTCGTTTATACTGATTGTTCGTTCAGGTTTGCGTATTGCCTTTGTTGGTGTATCGTTTTAGAATACGGACGCAGATATAGGGATATACCCGTACGTACAAAGTTTCCCGAGTTCCCCGTAGGATTGTGCACAATGTAGGATTCGGCCAGCAGGCATCATATCACTTTGTACATGAGTCAGCGTTCTAGCTTTTTATATGTAGGCCTAGCTCTATTGTACCAAATGGCTGTCAATTTCATTTCAAAACCCGCCCTCTATTTCCCCTGCTCTGAGCGCGGGGATACAATCGACGTCCCTTGTCAACTTATCGTCTTGTTACTCAGTCCCATTCTGTCGGTTGGAACCTTCGCGCCGTTCGTGGGCATTGACATCTGGTGCAGTTATTTTGAGGTGAATAATTTCCTCAAGACTGATAAATCGGCTAGTTTGGCACCTGGCTGATTTCAAACAGTCAACCAGATGGTTTAAACCGTCAACCATTTGGGTGATTTTGGTTAAATTATATGAAACCGTAGTCGTCGCTCGAACCTGTCCGTGTAGTTTGAAGTCCACGTGCGTGTTTGTTCCATGTGGATTTGGATCTCGATCAACGATTCCAAAGCTGGTTCGCGCTCGCGCTATACGTGTGGCGGATTCTGGTGTCATCAGTGAACCAACGTCGAAACTGCAGATCTGGCACCGCGTGAAACAAGCACGTTGACAGTCCCCGCTTCATTTTGGCGTTGAGCGTCCGGTGCGTCATCACCCATAACTTCCATACGCAAAACTTCGCAGGTTCTGTTCGGCACCAAATGCTGGCGCGGTCTCGGTTGTAGCGACCGAGGAGATCCGTACGTCGTGCCTAGCCTTTCGCCGACACTGCAGCTAGGAAAAAAAAAGGTGAGGTAAATTTTGAACATGATTTATCTTTTAGGTTGCAATAGACCTTGTGCTTCGCGTTTCTCATAAACCACAGATCTGTTTATGCCACACAAGAAGTAGGGAGTTTAACTCGCTCGGGGGTTGGTTATCTGCTTTATATGGTTAGGCATGGAGGAAGGACCCTCCATATGGTTGAGGGAAGCTCGACCGCCGCGCAATTCGGCCGCCTTGAGTAGTGTAGTAATTATAAGACGATTCGAACGAAAGCTAGACCAGGTTGGCAAGTGTGGCAAACAGTTCTAAAACCAGGAGAAGATACGATGCTTAGCAATTTTTTTTTACCTCAAGTGTTCCAAAGTCTCGCTTCCGTCTTCAGAAAGCTTTCAACGGGTAATGAACGATGTGCAACGTCCATGCACATGACCAGTGAAAGTTCCACTGGGCCTACTTCAGGGATATGGTTACCTACTCCAGTTCAGTTTTAATTTACTTATTTGTCTTATGTTCTATTCAAAACTATTGATTTAAACGAGCGTAAGTATTGTTCACAGAATAACCAACATGGCTTGAATGTTTCTGGAAAGCTTCAAAGGATTTGGCCTGAGATTGGACTTTTTATAAACATTTGTAATGACATTCTTTAACGAAGATTCTTTATTAAGACAGTCATAGGCAGATAGTTATTGTATTTGATGTACCGTATTGTTGATTTCAGATTGAACCACAGGTTACTACGCACTCAGTGAAGTGTATGTTTGCCTGCAACTGGGGACCCCTCTATTGTTCCTCTTTTGTTTGTACTTTAACTTTTTAAGAATACCCCCCCCCATATGTTTTGTACACAGTTGTCAATCGGGGACCCTCTGTCATCCGGGGACCTCATTATCCTCTATTGTTCAGGGTCCCCAATTGAATGCAGAAACAAACTCATACACGCACACCTAACAGTACTGTTCGACTTGCGGTCAGTCACAGTTCGGAATTTGTTTTTGTTTTTATGACGTCATTACATGTCATTCAAAGGTACAATTTTCGTTTCATATAGCATGAGTTCTCATTATCATCCAATTCACAGGGTATGTCGAACCTGAATTCCTCACACTATATATGAAATGAAATCATGATGACGTCATCCTGGGACATTTTGTATATTTCAACATTCGCATGCATATCTCATTGACTTTAACGGTTTTGAAATACGTCTTATAAATATTCATTAATGGAAACCTCATTTTTAGCACAGGTTAAGGTACGCAGAAAAGCTACATGATCTGTTGCAAACACACATATCCGGTTCATAAGTGTGACATCACTTCAGCGTAAGCCACGCACATGCATGTGCACTTTAAATAAGGTTACATGCATAGATCGATCGGCGTTTACATGGAACTATGGAACTGGAAGTTAACGCGCAACTTCAGCGATTGTCCAATGAGGGCCTGCAAATCGTGGCACGTCCGCCTTTGTGACGAGGTCACGAACAGGATAAGCCTCGTTTCGATTTCTTAAATCAAATAGACTTTCTACTTTTTTATTCGTCAGCATTTTCAAGTGAACATTTAACAAAGCCATGTTATGACATTGAAATTTTAAACATTCAAAGAACAGAATAGCAGAGGTCTTTCGGGAGGAATGACGTCACAATTACGTCATCACATGACTATTTATTACATTTTAAATATTTATTTTAACTCGCTGACTTTGTACACAAGTTTTCAAAAGGCCTTTCGGTCGCTCAGCAATGTTGCATCTTCATCAAAGTTACACCCAGGAAGGAACATAATGCTAGGAAAAAATATCAAGATGAGGTCATCAGGTGTCAAATCACAATCAGTTAAAATTTGATTATTCAATTTTTAAAAGACATAAAATCAAGTGTGAGTTCGCATAGCTCACTTTTTGGAAAGTTTTTTTGGTGTAAACTTTGTCTCATGTACGTAATATGACACGACCCTCGCTTCTGGTGGAAACCGGAAGTGTCTTATCATCATAATTTAATTTGGTAAAGAGTGTCAACTTCGTTTCCACAGTGTTAGTCTCAGGTCACGGAGTATCCAAATCATATACCGGTGACATCACAAGAAACTTAAGCACCCTTGGCGGTAGGTTGAAGCATTCAAAAATGTATTTTGTCTGTGGCCAAGTTCCCCAAAATCACTTGAAAATTGGAAGGCATAGTAATGATGATACAAAATGTGCAAACCTCAGGCTGAAGACGTCATCAGACCTGAAGTTATGATGAAGAGACCTTTCATTTTTCAGAAATCGATCATGGCGTGGAGTATTGTATCGCCAATCAAATGCTACTTAAAATATTAGTGTTCCTTGTGTAAGGTGACGGGCTTGTTCAATTTCTAAAAACGCAACCCGCCAGTGAATAAAAAAGAGAAGGCCAGCAGTTGTCGTCCCTTCCCCTGTGTCGGCATGGGCTTTGTGCAGCATACGTTTTGCGCGTGCCTTGTGTGCAGAGCATGGAGTGGCTAGGATTTGGCGCCCTGATAGGTTCGCTGCGGTAGCCCACTAGGCACATGGCATGGCGAAAACGCTACCAGCAGATTATCGTGTACAAACCCAAGGCACGTGACGATAATGCCTGGCCATGGGTATGCCTTGTACGTCATAAACTTATGAACTTCCCAGCGGTAGTCTGTGAGACGCAGTGGTAAAATCAATATAAGCGCTCGGTCTACTCGTTAATATGCAGCAACTTTAGTACTTCGTGTGCTGTTCATGATCAATGGGTAGATTGTAAATGTGTTCGCAATAAGAGAATTACATACATGTATTCCATGAACGAGATATTTAGTGTAATTTCTACTGAGAGTAGGAAGAAGATACAGAAGTTGTATCATTTTTTTCTATTGGATCTCAAATTTATTTCAAGTTGACACTGAAAATATAACTCTTTATTTCGAGAAAACGATGAAGGGGTCATCATGGCTCCCTAAGATTTGGCATCACCGTGAGTCGTTTCATCTTCCCCTCGACCGATAAAAGCTCTGGCCGAGAAAAGATGTTGAAAGCATTCACAGTCGGGCGAACAACCTTTGAAATTTGCTTTTGAAGAATTCCGCGAAATCTGATTCTCTCATTTTGCCGTTGTATGATTGCGTGTCCCATCATTGGTTTATGGTCTCTGTTTTAGCATACAATCATTCATACCTACGGTTTGTAGGCCTCCTTAATTACAACAAGGAAATTCCTATGACAGAGAAACCTGTATGGAGAATTACCATCGGTGAATATTTCCATGTGTTTATCTGAATCCAAATACAAACAACCTTGACGACCCAGGTAATCCCGGGCCAGTCGTATGTAACAACAGATGACAAACGATAATCATGTTGTTTAATTAATCTATTTTGTACTAATGGTTGATCTAGCATCTAAAGAAGGTGAAAATGTGAAGTGAAGTAAATCCAAAAGAAAGTCTTGAGTCAAACGTTACCTCTTCAAGAGTCAAAAACTGAGTCTTAAGCATGCCCTAAAATACTCCTTAGCACAGCTATATCACACCAAATGTCAAAGCTATCTTTCAAATTCAACTCTTTAGGTACATACTTCAACATTAAATATCCAAACTCAGTGCGAAATCCTATTACGTAATACGCTATACTTGCAGATGTGTGGAACTAATCGCATGGCCTGACATGCCAAATTTATACTTGATGTTTATCGTGCCCAAAATAATTTTTCTATCTCCCTCCCTATACACCTTAATCTGTAACACATCAGCTGTGATTACAAGTAACCGGAAACGTGGACTCAAAATATTGGGCGTATATCAAAAATTCAGACAAAAGTCAGTGGAATTCTTCGACGAACTTTAGTGAAATGGAAAACGTGCAAGCCAAACATGATGGCACAACGCCCTCTAGGGTTCACAAGAAATCTTCGCTTCTGAAGTCACCTTCATTAGAATAAGTGGTTGACACCTGCTACACCAAAGATCTATTGAAAAGAATGTTAAAATAGTACGGAAAATAAACGAATCTGCAAAAAAAGAAGTGATGATGTCATCATGACAACCCATTTTTCATCTGTATAACATGGTATAGCCACATACAAATTGCCAGCAAAATTTGGTTTCAGTGTTCATGAGAAATAGTGGCTTCATATTCACACACAAATAATGACGTCACAAGACCCATGATTACGCCTTCATGGCGACATTTTCGCGGCTGAAAATGAAGATACATAATTGCCAAGCGACCAAAATCAAATATGCCTTGAATAAAATGTACAAAGTCACAAATATAAAAATATATATAAATGTACAAAGTAACATTGATGACGTTAGCATAACGTCTCTCTTCGTGAAAGATCTTTGTTTTAGATACTTTCACTGTGTAAAGCTAAGATGTTGTTGGTACTGCCGAAAAAGAAAACGTGTGCAAAGTCTGTGTGATTAGGGATAGAAGATCAAAAGAAAAAAAAGAAAAAAAAAAAGAAATTCCAGGTCTGCTCGAGAAGAGAACATAGGGTTTTTTCTCAATTTAAAGGTTCCGAGTACAAAGTGTTTTGGTCACAGGAATTTTAAAATATCAAAAGAGAACGCGTTTATCACCAAACCTGATGATGATGTGTTTATGACGTTATTAAGACGTTATCATAACGTCAGCTAAACTTTCATGCATAGCACATACCCACACGGCCAAAGTTATTCAATCCAACTAACAGTTTGTTACCTAAATATAGGGTAGGCCTTGAACATGTGTAACTTTAAGGAGTCATCTCGGATCATCCGGGAAACGGTGAGGGGAAACTGCGGAAAGGTGTTGCGGTGAAATGTTGAAGGCTCTTGTAAAACTTCCCTGCAGTCTTCCCGAAATGAAGTTATCGGCATTTGGACACCCCCACACATACACATTGCGGTTTTTGCCAGGCAGGCCACTCAAGGACACCTGTGGTTTTGGTGACAGGAAAGCCACACGCAAAGGATTGCCCTCCTTACACGGAGCTTTTTAAAACGTCTCTAAATGAATGTTTTGCAGTAATATACTTTGACCCTTTCATAA